AAACCCTAAACCCTAGACCCTACTCATAAGTAGCCTAACTCAGACTGAAAGGATTGGTCATGTAGTAAGCACTTAGTAAGCAAGTCATGAGCTTCGGTGCCAAGGCAAAAGATTACCGAGTCACCTAATCCCCTAAGTGCTGTTCCTGGGTTGAGGTGTAGGGTTAGTGGCTGTAAGCTTCAGGTGCAATGATGAAGTAGCTCAAATTCAGTTGGGGATCTTGGATTCCGGTTAAAGCTTGTGACTCGGACGACAGAGCCGCGGCACGGCGTCGAAACCCTCAAGTGTAGTTTGCAGTGTATGTTATACTCCTGCCGAAACCCCAAACCCCAAACCCGCAGGTCTAAATCGCATGCCATAGCTCCAAACCCTAAGTTCTGAATCCCGTCCCTAAACCCCAAGAGGCCCAACGCCCTCAACCCTAAGCCTTAAAGAACGCTCACAATGGCCCGCTTCTATAGAACCCACGTATCTACCTCTCTCTCTCTCTATATATATNNACACATACGTACACACACACACACATCCCTTTCAGAATCCTTACTCCCTGAGCTTTAAGCATAAGCCCTGAGACCACAAACTTAGTTCGGAGGACTTAGTAAGGAGGGTTATACGTTTGGTAACTGTTGTGATATTTACTTCTAGCTCTGATTCAGGTACTCAGAACCCTACCTACTGAGTTCACTGACTTTCTATAGAGCCCCAAAGAATCCCTACGGAAACTTGCTAAGGCCCTTGAACCTCCATAAAGCCCTTAAGGACCCAAATAGAAACTCTTATGGACCTAAACCCTAAACCCTAAACCGCCCTTATGGGAACGGAACCCTTAAAGGAACCCTTCCCTAAACCCTAAACTCTTCTAGAACCCTTGCAGGAACCTACTTACACCTTTACTATGGGAACGCTTACAGGAACCTTGAACCTCCAAATAGTGTAGGGGCCTTTATAATTAGAATAGGGTTTGGGGGCACGACACACTACAAAAAGGAGACCCCAAAATAGTATAGGCTCTTTACACTATAACTATAAGGTTCTACTAACAGGGGCATATTATGCTATAATTATAATAAGGAACCACCCAAAAATAATATAGGTAATTGTTTAGGCCCCTACACCCTAAACCCTTATAGTAGCCCTTATAGAGGCCTTTAAAGGAACCCTGAAAGAAACCCAAAATAGTATAGGTAATTATTTAGGCCTCCACAGTAGAGAGGAGACTCCGGCACCTCCGGCGCCTACCCGCCACCGCGGCCCACAGTGTCGGCCTCTGGGCTTTCCGGCCCCTGGTATGAAATTGGCTTCGGGTTTTTAGGATCAAGGGTTTCGGGTTCAGGAGTTTTAGGGTTTAGGGGCTAGGGGTTTAGGGTTTAGGGTTTAGGGGTTTAGGGTTTCGGGGCAAAAAGTCGAGTTAGAAGCACCAGAAAGGGATCCTAATTAGACTTATGCTGTTTTTTATTCTACAAAATAACTGTTTACTAAGTCCTCCGACCCTCCAAGAAGCTGGCTCACAGCGTTTAGGGCATAGGGTTGAGGGTGTAGGAGAAGCAGATAGCTTCGGTAGCTTGCCGCACGATGTCTTGACTTCAGCCAACATCGAAGATGCAGCTTCCGTCTTTGAGACGATGGCTTCGTCGTGGTGGTCTGATACACCGCCCTTGTGCAAGTCGTCCTCGCTTCGCTTTCGGAGCTGCTTTGACGGAATCGACTCCACCGGCTTGGTGGCTCAAGGGCCGGCCTCGGAACGTCTTTCAGAGTAGGGCTGAGGTGGAGCTCCTCTCCCAGCTGGCCGTGCTGCTCATGCCGGATGAGCCCATTGCCGAAGCCTTCCGTGATTTTCCAATTCAGAGGTGCCAAGAGTGGGGTTCCAGCAGATTGTGCCCAGATTTTGCGGCACATGGTGTGCTGAAAACAGCTGGTGCTGCTCTGTTCATCGAGTACGATGGCCATTATCGTCACATGGAGCCACAGGGCCTGGACAGGGATGCGCGCAAGACAAGTGCACTGCTGAAGTTCGCCCCTGTGGGATCTGTTGTGCTGCGCATCGCGCACAAGGAGCGGCAGTGGAAGGACAACTCCGTGCAAGTATTGGTGGGCTGTTGGCAGTCCGAGCACGTGCCCTCGCTTCACAAAACGTTGAGGCAAGTTGTAGCTTCTCTGCTGCAGTCTTGTCGTGCGGAGCTGGTGCCCGGGCTCGTTTCACAGCTTGAGGCAAGTGCCCCAACGCAAATCGACAGGCAAGCGCACACCTTTGCAGTGGGCGCAGAGTTGGTGGGCAGCGCGTCTCGCAGCGGGCTAGCAGTTGAAGAGTTTCTCCAGAAGGAGATGCAGCTGACACCAGTCCAAGTTGCCAGATCGATTGCTAGGTTTCCTTCAGCGCGTGGCTTGAGCATTGAGGCAAATCTGAAGCCAAAAGTCGAATGGTTCAAAGGGTTGGGCCTGAGCCAGTCGCAGGTTGCCAAGGTGATCGCGACCTTTCCCCCAGTTCTTGGCTGCAGCATTGAGGCAAATCTGACGCCAACAGTCGAATGGATCAAAGGGTTGGGTCTGAGCCAGTCGCAAATTGCGAAGGTGATCGCGACCTTTCCCCCAGTTCTTGGCTGCAGCATTGAGGCAAATCTGAAGCCAACAGTCGAATGGGTGACAGGGTTGGGCGTAAGCCAGTCGCAGGTTGCCAAGGTGATCGCGAGCCATCCCCAAGTGCTTGGCTACAGCATTGAGGCAAATCTGAAGCCAAAAGTCGAATGGTTCAAAGGGTTGGGCCTGAGCCAGTCGCAAATTGCGAAGGTGATCGTGAGCTTTCCCCAAGTGCTTGGCTACAGCATTGAGGCAAATCTGACGCCAACAGTCGAATGGATCAAAGGGTTGGGTCTGAGCCAGTCGCAGGTTGCCAAGGTGATCGCCGCATTTCCTTCAGTGCTTGGCTTGAGCATTGAGGCAAATCTGAAGCCAAAAGTCGAATGGTTCCAAGGGTTGGGCCTGAGCCAGTCGCAGGTTGCCAAGTTGATCGCGGTGTATCCTTCAGTGCTTGGCTTGAGCATTGAGGCAAATCTGACGCCAACAGTCGAATGGATCAAAGGGTTGGGTCTGAGCCAGTCGCAGGTTGCCAAGGTGATCGCGAGCCATCCCCAAGTGCTTGGCTACAGCATTGAGGCAAACTTAAGGGTAAAGTATGTGTTACTACAGAACTTCTTCCCGGGCACAGCTGCAGCAGAGCTTCTGGCGAGAACACCGTGTCTCTGGGGCTATCGGCCCGCTCGGCTTGAGCATCGTCTGCGCGTGCTACAGTCTCAAGGTCAGCTTTCCAAGCTTGCCGGCGCCATGGCGTTGGGGTTGGATGCCTTCAACTGCAGATTCACAAGTTCACGGCTGCCGACACAGACGAAAATTCGGTTTGGCTTCGACAGGGGTCTTGCGGATACTTGGGCTTCCATTGCTTGGGGAGTTGACGCACCGGGCTTGTAGAGTTGAGTCGATCGAGGAAGTTTGGGGTTTAGGAGTTCTTGTTTGCCGGTCTGAGTGCACAGGCGCAGGGCTCAGAGCGGCAGCTTCGAAAGCTTTCGGGTGCTGGATTTGGGGCCGTACCCTGCGCCAGGCAACAGTCTCCGTATCCGAACCGTAAACCCGCAGACCATCTCGCAGAGTAGTATCTGCAAGCTGCTAACCCAGGCACCGGGAAAACGCCAAGAGGTCGGGGTAGCTGTCCGGAAAAAATTAATATGATTACAGCTAAGGTCTACGTGATCAGAATGGGTAGGAAGGTATGTATCATGGCAATTATTCCCGGCCCTAAGCCACATTATGAGCTGCAGTTCTTGAGGTGCCCTCCCTTCGCAGTGAAGGCCGCTAAACTCTTGGACACCCAGAAGACTTCCGGAACCTCAGATACCCTGGGCATTCATTCAACGCGCCTTTCGTCCTAGAGTCTTAGAAATGCCGAAGCGCAAATTTCGAGCCCTAAGTCCCGAAGTTCGACGACTTATTTAAACCCAGAGGCGATAAAGCCTAAGCAGCGCTCAACCCGAACTCCTCAACTTTAAACCCCACTCCAAACCTCGCAAGCCTAGCCTTCAAACCTGAATGCTCAAATTACAGAAGCTTTCCATGCATCTTGGAGGCACTACATGGCCTAAAACTGGGGAAACCCTAAACCCGGAGACACCCTTCCGTCCTCTATTGTGCTTAGGTCCGAGGTCTACATCTAAGACCCGGAGCCCGGCTGCCGGAGTGGCTCTGCTGCAGCTTTCTCTGCCACTACTACTACTCCTACTCCTACTAATACTACTACTACGACGACGACGACGACTACTACTACTACTACGACGACGACGACTACTACTACTACTATTACGATTTTGTTATTATTATTACTACTCTTATAATTACTACTACTGCTGCTGCTACTGCTACCACTAACCCTCCTCCTGCGGCTGCTGGCCTCCAGTAAACCCAGCCTCCAACGTCCAAGAGCCCCCCGAGGCTTCCCTGCAGCCTTTACCTGCCGGCCGGGTTTCGGCCCAGGTCGAGGCCACGGCCCGCTTTTTATGTTGGTAAGAGCTTTTCATAAGGCCTTATGGCTTTCTTGGGGGGTTTTAGCCGGTTTTATGGGGTTTGCGATGGGCTTTGAAAGGTTTGGAGTAGGGCTGCATTTGGGGCCTGAACATGTATTGCTCGTATCTCTTTTTTAAGTACAAAATCTTACGTCTCAAGCCTTGCAGGCTCCTATAAACCATTTCAGCACAGAAGACCTGCAACACCGTAGAGCCTTCCCTGGAAAGATCGCGGAAGCGCCCAACACTTCAAGGGCCCGTAAAATGATGCAACGATCCATTGGAAGAAGCCTCATCATCCCAACCCCTAAACCCCGAACCCCTAAACCTCCAAACCCAATTTTGCCCCTTTCCTTTACAGTGTAGGCCCCGACTGGGGTGAGTCTCGTGCGGAGCAGAAAGAGGCTATTGCACTTTAAAAAAAAACCTCCAAACCTCCAGACCTCTAAACCCTAAACCCTAAAGTCTGAACCCAAAAGCCCTGAGACCCCTACCTAAACTCGTAGACCCCTGGTTAAACCCCCAGGTCTCGCAGAGTCAGCCGGACCCTGCGCCGGAGATCCCCTTCAAGGCGAGGTTCTTCGGACAGTTTTTTGTTTCTTCTGGTTTAGGGTTTCAGGGTTTAGGGTGTAGGGTTTCAGGTGTTAGGGTTTCAGGGATTAGGGCTTCAGGGTTTAAGTTTCAAGGTTTAGGGTTTTGCGTTTCGGGTTGTGGTGTTATCGTTATTTGTCGTGGTGGTGATGTCTATGCCGTTGCATCGTGTGCACCGGTGGAATCACTTCAAGCCTTAAATACTAAACCCTAAAGGCCCAAAGCCCTAAAGTGAAACCCCCTAAGAGCCTCAGGCCCTAAACCCTAAAGGCCTAAAGCCCTAAAAGCCCTAATATCGAGGCCTTAATAATTGCCTATACTATTGTGGGGGGTTCCTTATTATAACTATAGTCTAACGTGCCCCAAAACCCTATTCTAATTATTAAGGCCCCTACATTACGCCTCGAAGCCCAAGCTTAAACCCTAAACCCTAAACCCTAAACCGTTTAAAGCAGCCAAAGTCGGACCCTGAGAGGCCACAGTCGCTGACGAGCAGCCTTTTACTTCCGATGCCGGAAGCAGGCATGGGGTTGAGGGTTTAGGATTTAGGGTTTAGGGTTCAGGGTTTAGGGTTTAGGGTTCAGGGTTTAGGGTTTAGGGTTTAGGGTTTAGGGTTTATGGTCTAGGGTCTGGGGGGTTCAGGAGTTCAGAGTTCAGGGCGTCGGCTTCAGGCCTCTAGGCGGTGTCGGGATTTGGATGATGCCTCGGGGGTTGTCTGGCGTCATATAGGGGCCTATATGATTACCTATACTATTTTGCGGCTTCCTTATTAGAATTAATTATGGTATAAGGGGCCCCCAAAACCCTATTCTAATTCTTGAGACCCCTATATTGTGGTGTTTAGGGTTTTACCTGAAACCCAAGCCTGATTGGTATTGAAGGTCCCCGACAGACTCGGAGATAAGTTCAAGACCTCGCCACTTCACCACGCCGTAGGTTGTTGTCAGGGCATCTGGTGAAGGGATCTTGAATGGCGGCAGTCTGATGTATGAAGAGTCTTCTACGCCCTTCTGCGCGCAATGTACTGCCATAAACGCCTTTCTTCGATAGATCTTCGAGTTAGTGTGATGTCGTGTTAAGCAACATGCAGTAGAAGCGCAAGTCAAATCACCGACACCCTCAAACTCTCAAGGCCTCAGTTAAACTCCAAACTTCCAAGCCCCCACACCCTGTGCACACCTTAAGCCCTGAGGCACAGGTTCCACAGCCCAGCTCCCACTCCAAAATGCTGGACCCCCAAAACCAAGAGGGTCCAGCCCCTTTCCCCACCACTGTGAGCCTCACAAAACCCCCGCACCCAAGACCCCAAGACCCCAAACTCCCGAAACCCGAAACCCTAAACCCTAAGACCCCAAACTCCCGAAACTCTTTCCCCTGAGCCCCAGGCGTCAGGGCCAAAGCCCCAAGACTGAAAGACTCCAAAAGCCCGACGCCTTCAGCGCAGCCCCTAAAGCCCCAGAGCCCTAAACCCAAAGCCCTAAACCCTAAACCCTAAACTCTAAACCCTAAGCCCTAAATTTTAAGCCCTAAA